AAAAATTAAAAGCAAAAAAAAATTAGTATGGTTTTTTTTTAAATTATAATTTCAGATAATACTTTTTTTTTTACTTTTTAATAAATTAATTTACGACATTAAAATAGTTTTTCGTATATAATGTTGAAAAGTAAAATAGTTTTTACAAGTTTTGAAAATTTGTAAATTTAAGCATATTAATAAATAAATTGTAAAATAAAATTTAAATAGCTTATTTGTATTTTATTTTAATTGTAAAAAAGCCCATTAGGTTTAATTTTAAAATTTTTATATCGTTCTTTTCGCGCTTTCTTTACGACACATCTACCATATAAAAATTGACATAAAATCTCTAAAATTTATTGAATTTAATAATTTTGTGTAAAATAAAAACTATCTGCTTTGGTGCTTATGCTTCAATACATATTATAGAGTTTAGTATTAATATTATATTGATAAAAATTTTTCTCCTGAAAATTTCGTTTAAAGTTGCATTCATCATGTCTCTGTGTTGGGATAATCGAATTTATTTTTAAAGCGAATGACTAGAATTAAAAAAAATAAAAAGTACAAATTTTTCTCTTAAAAAAAGCATTATTATAAATTTTTTTCAAATATAATTATGTTATATATCTAAATACCATAGTAAATTCTGTTAAAAAATAAAAGTTAAAAAAGAACTTTAAATAAAAAAAAAAATCCAAAAGTTTTTTTGTCACCGCCTTTTTTAAATAAAAATAAAATACATTAAATAACTTCTTGTATAGCTAGTGCCACTTTATTTTTTTTTTGTGCAGGTTATATTTAATTTAATAAGAATTACATACATTGTCGAAATAATGTTCAAACTATATTTTTTGTTTTTAAAAAAAAAATGACTTATAGTTTAATAACATGACGGAATCATTGACATTTAGTACGAAAAATTTTGACGAAGTTTTAAGTGACCCAGATACTGAAATAGACCTTCAAATAAAAGAATTAAATTATGAATATCACGAAGCTTTAACGGACAAGCCAGAAATTTTAAAATACATACAACGTTTACATACAATTATTCGGAGGCAACAAAAAAAATTAAATAAATTTTATAAAAAGTTAAAGGAACATGTGCGTTAGAAGTTTTGAAAAATAGAAGAGACGACATCAAATCTTGATGTATCTTTTTTCTGGAGAAATTTTTTTTCTCATTTTCAGAAATTTGTTAAAAAATGCGACGTTGAAAACAAGGAATCTCAGACTGATAATCATGACAATAGTTTTCAATCATTGGGATCAAGTGAAGTGGCGGTTAATTCCTCTGGTAAAACTATTGCTGATGAAGTTAAAGAGGTAGCCGAAGATGCTTTGAAACAAACTAGTTTTGTTTATGAACCAACTTCTGGAATGTATTATGATTATAACACTGGTTATTATTATAATGCTGTAAGCTTTTTATTTAACAAATATTGTATAACAAGTTAAATTTTGAGCTTTGTATATTTTTTTTTATTAAAAAAAAAAAATTTTAATTATATTCGTTTGCATGCAGGAACTTAGGATGTATTATGATGGAAATACTGGAAGGTATTTAGAATATGATGAAGATACTAACACTTACAAATACCATGCAGCAGTTGGTTCCCAGACAAATAATTATTCAAATAATGCCAAATCTAGACATGAAAAAAAAAAATACAAAAAGAAAAAGGATAGATCTAAGGTTAAAATTACATAATATTTTTTAAAAAAATTATAGATAATTTAACATTTGCATTTAAATTATTTTGAAAATCACAATTAGTTTTGGTTAAATTCATAATTTCAAACTGTCTTAAGAGAACTTTAATTAAAAGCTTCTATAATATTAGAGCAGTGAAATAAAAATAGTTATTTTAGTTAAAGAATATTACCTTCTAATCAATTAACTAATAAAATTGATATACCGAAAGTATGTTTTTAAAAATCTTCAAACATTTAAAAAATTAATGATTACAACTTTATGTGTATAAATAAAAATTTTTTGCTATGATACCTGGAGTATTTTAATAAATGTTACAATAATTTTTTTAGTTGGAGTTTTCTTCTGAGGTTAACAATCTGGCGACTAGTTTTTCAAAATTTTATATCGAGTCTTCCAGATTAGCAATAGGTATGAAATTTCTTTTATTTTATTTTTATAAAATTTTTTTAGGGTATCAAAAGAAGTAGATTAGATGAAGCTGAAGAAGGTGAAATAACAGAAAGTTCTGTAAGTCCATCAGGAACCAGCTGCAGTGATGATGAACTTGAAGGTGGTTTAGATACTCAGGGTTAGTAGTGGTAGTAGTAGTTGTTGTAGTAGTTGCAGTACTTATTTTAAAATATTCGTTTTTTAAAACTATGATGGAGGTAATTCTAAAGTGAAAAACACATTCAGTGAACAACTAAAATTAAAAAATTTTTTATTAATTGATAAAACTGATCAATGTTTAATAATTATGTAGTAAGTTTAGTAATCCTTAAACTTTACTTTTTTACAGATTCTGGATTTGGGTGTGAACCTTGCATTCGTATAATGGTCGAAGAAACAAACGTAGATAAATTAAAAATAGGCTCATTGTTTGTTGTAACTTGTAAGGGAGGAACAATGGGTAGAGAAGGGGATCACGCGGTCCTTATTCCCGACATAAACGTTAGTAAACACCATGCTAAATTTGTTTACAATCCCCAAAATTCCTTATATTACATAACCGACTTGGGAAGTCGAAATGGTACTTGGCTCGACGGAGAAAGGCTGTCTTCAGCTCTTCAAGAAAGTGAAAAATTTAAAATTGATCATGGCGCAATAATACAAATAGGAAGTACAAAATTACTGTGTCACATTCACGTCGGACGCGATACCTGTTCTTCTTGCGAACCTGGATTAGTTCAACAATCCCTGGATTCCTCCCTATGGGATTTAGGAGCAAAAAATTCAATGTATAGAGAACAACTTCAAAATTTAAAAAAAAAATTTGGAGTTGATGGGTTACCACAAGACGTGTACAACGTGCCAGGATATGAAGATCGTGCGGAAATGAGACGTGCGGCTGTTGGTTCATCTCATTCTTCCGAAAAAACTCACACCGCTTCCGTTTCCGAGTTAGTTTTTATTCCATTTTGTCTTTTTTATTTAATTTAAATTTTAGTATAATTTTAAAGTTTTGTTTATTGGCCGAAGTCTAAAATTTTTATATTTTTTAGATTAATACCAAAATGTAATAAGGGTTTCAAAATGCTGTCAAAAATGGGGTGGAACGAAGGACAAACTCTGGGTAAAAATGACGGTGGACTTTCCGAACCGGTGAGTATCCATTTATGCTTTTTTTTTTTCAAAAGTTGGCTACAATTAAAAATTTTTTTTTCTTTTATTATCGTTTACGTTAAATCCCGATAGAATTTTATTATGACGGTTTTCGTAATAAAAACGACAACTTTGTGTCAAATTGTTGTTAATAAAATAAGTTTTTGTTTACACGGAAATTTACGAACCGAAAAACAAATAATAATAATAATAATTTACCCAACAGAAAAGTATTTTCTTTGATTTCCTTGTAACAATTTTTTTTTTTTTTTTATCGAGTCGTAAAACTCTAACAAATTGTTTTTATCCGGCCACCATTTTGACCGTTATTGTTTATTATCTTTTACTTACTTCCTTACTTACTTACGACTTCTGTTTTTAATTTTCTTGGTTTTTATGCCTTTCTAATTAATCCATTCGACCATATATAAGGTAAATTTTATCTTCCTATAAAAAAAGGGGGAGAGGGGGTAGGGGGTTAATTTCATGACGTTGCCTTACCCTGAAAAAAAAAAAACCAAAAATAAATTTATTTAACTTTAATATGTAATCATTTTGAATATAATAATAATAATAATGAGGATTATTAATATTTCAGGTTTCGCTTCAAAGTAACGTTGGAAAATTCGGTTTAGGAATGAAAAGTAGTTCAATTGAAAGTCCAAAAATGAGCAAATCCGAGAAAAAAAAACAAGATATATTAAGAAAGACTCAAACAAGATATAAAAATATTGAAGAAACGAAATCTAATAGCGATGAAAGGGATTAAAAAGTAATTTTTTTTTAAATAAATAAAATAAAATTTTATTAAATGTAATTTTTTATAAATGAGTATAATTTTAATATTGTTAAGAAAGAATTTGTTTTTTTTTTTTTTTTTTTTTTTTTTATTGATAAATCATCGTAAATTAATAAAGAAAAAAAAAGATTGTTTAGTTAAAAGTTTTTTTTTTTTTGTTTTCCAGGTGAAATTTTAATATTTAAATTTGAGTCTTCAAGTCTTTAAGAATTAAGGACATTAAATATTTAATTGTTAATTAAAAATAAAGTAAAAAAGTAAGAAAAAAAAACGTTAACTGGTTTTTCTACAAGTTTTCCCCTGTTTTTCTTTCATATTTAATTTTTTTTTGGATTTCAGGTGATGATAACACCAAAAGTAGAGTCAAAAACGTTTTTTTAATTAATTTAAAAGAATAACCAAAAAGAAAGAACAACGACAAACATAATAAAACAGAAAATATGGAAGAAAAAAGCTTTAAAGAAAAAATAATAATAATAATAATAATAATAATAATAATAAAAGGTGTTTAATTTTAAAATAAAAATTTTTTTTTTTTTTTTACATAATTTTGGGTTATTTTTTTTCCCCTATTAAAAGTCATCATCATCATCATCATCACGACGAAAGGAAAAAAAAATTTTTTTTTTTTTTAACTGTTAATTATTGAATGTTTATTAATAATAATAATAATAATAATAATAATAATAATAATAATAATAACGTAAAGATGCAATTACATACCGGGGGCGTAACATTCAATTATTATTATTATCGGTGTATGGACCATTGAGTGAGGACAAGTTTACGTCCTTGATAGTCTGATTCAATGTCAGTCATAAGGTGGGTTCGATGATGATGATGATGATGATGATGACCGTGACCTCCGAATTGAAATCCAATTGAAAATTCTTACTTTTTTTTTTTTTTTTTTGGATATTCGTCACTTAAAAATTTTCTCTCACTTCCCCCCCCCGCGCCCCCTGCCCCCCTCCACTCCCCGTTTCACGATCGATGATAAATTTTAATTATTAATTAATTATCATTTTTATATAAAATAAATAAACCTTTTGATTAAATAAATTCATTTAATAAATTTTTTATTGTTATTTTAAATCAATTAGTATTAAACAAACATTTAACTTTTGTTATAATAATTTTTAATGAGATTTATCATCATCATCATCATCATTTTTGGTAAATGTTAATTTTTTTTTTAATTTAATTATAAAAGCCTAAAAAATTTCAACTTAATAAGGAAAAATTAAAGTGAGTGAATTTATATATATTAATATTCATAACCCCCTGTTGTTTAAATAAATAAATAAATAAATAAATAAATAATAATAAGAAAAGGAAAAAATTTTTAATTTTTTTTTTGGAAATGTTAGAATAGTATTGTTATTATTATTATTATTTTAACCGTTCAAGGTTTTAGGTTATGTTAGATTTGGTTTTTTTAAGAATTTTTTTAATAATAGGATTTAACCGATCAAAAAAAAAAATAATAAATTTAAAATTTATTGCCTTAATTTTTTTCATTTTAAATTTAATCATCAAATAAAAATTTTTTTTTTATAAAAAGAGAAAATTTTTTTTTTAAAAAAAAAACAAGTTTTTTATTTTGTATCCTTAATGCACATATGCTTCCTATATATATTTATATATATATTAATAAGTTTTTTCAAAATGATCGTTATTTAATCAATAATAATAATAATAATAATAATAAAAACAAAAGCAAATAAATAATTTGCTCTATAATACTATTTAATTTAATTTAATTAATTTAATAAATAATAATTAAAATCAAATTAAATTGATAAGTTAAAAGTTATTTAAATTTTATTTAATAATATTAGAACGATTTTAATTATTTCAACGTAAATAAATAATTAAAAAAAAAAAATAATAATAATGAAAATTTCAAAAAATTTCGATTTTCGGTTGACATTCCGGAAACGGAGCGTTCGAATGCGAGTTATGCCATTTTTCCACTGAGTAAAAAAACGTGAATCAAATTTACTGGTTGGTCAGTATAACCCGAGTCAGTTTACGATTCGATACTCGGTTGAAAGGAAGTGAGTTCGTCATGCGCTCTTGCGGACAAAGTTTAATTACGACGAGATTTTAATAAAAAAACTTTTTCGGCCGAATAAGGCCGAAAAAAATGCTTTCTTGTTTCGGATATAATAATTATATAAAATTTAAAAGAAAAAATAACAAATTTTTTTGCACGGTTACTCCTCATATTGATCATTTGGGTAAACATATCATCGTCGTGTTATGACAATTGTGGAAATTTGGTGGTCGGAGGAGGGATGCGCGGTCGAGAGAACCCTAATCAACCCTTAGGAATAAATTTCCTTACGATCACGACCAGGACGAGGACGATCACGACGACCACGTCGACCACCATCACCACCACCACCGCCAACAACAACAACAACAACATTTACGAACAAACATGCAAAACTATTTAAAATAAGTGCGTTAAACAAAAGAAAAAGAAAAAAAAGTTCCTACTCATCAATTGAATGCCAAAAAAAATTTAAAAAAAGTTGTACGTTTTTTTTTTTTTTTTTTTTTTTATTGGGTGTTTATGCGACTTATGGTTGCTTTGTTACGAGATGAACGGTTTCGTCTTAATAAAAATTGTGCAGTTACTCTTCTGTCTGACTATTCTACTTCTGAAACCTATACAAGGTGAGAGAATATTTTTTATTTTTTATTTTATTTTAAAAAGAATCATTTTCTTTATATATTTTTAATCGATTAATATTTCTTTTTAAAAAAAAAAACCGAAAACCGATAACTAATAATTTTCCACCAAAAATTTATTTACTCCCTTGTTTGGTTTTTTTTTTTTTTTTTTTAAAAGTTTTCACACAACTTTTTTTCTTAATAATAATAATAATAATAATAATACTTTTTAAAAGATCAAACATAATTAATAAATAAAAATAAAAAAAAAAGTTGGAAAAGTTAATAAAATTGAGAGGGAAAGTGGCGTGACTTCTCAAACTTACTCCTTACATTACCGTGTGAAAATTTTAAAAGCAATGCGACACTTCTTATATGATAAAATACGTAAAATATCATTTAAAAAACACCATTTTTTTTTCTTTTTTTTTTTTAAAAAAAAAAAAAAAAAAGAAACTTCGATCTTAGAAAAAAATTTCAATTTGCATAACTAATAATAATAATAATAATAATAAATAAACAAGAATGCAATTAAATAGACATTCCATTTGACAAAACC